CGCCGTATGAACACATCTGCGGATGTTTCTAAATTCAAAATTTCACCATTTCTGTGTTTAAATGTTGAATTCTGCTTAAGCCGGTGCTAGGGGGCGTGGACAATAACTTGCACTTTCCATTACCGTCCATGAACAGGCTCAATCAAACCGAGCCTGCAACATTTTACAATTTTGCCGTGTTGGGCTTCCTTTAAGGATTCTGTTTATCACTATTTCAATGTGACACTTCCGTGCCATTCCATGAAAGCGGCGTATGGTCCCCAAGTAATAGAAAGCGGGTGTCCTTAACGAGAAAACAATGGGCGGAACTAAATAAAATGGAATTTTGAAAGGTGATCATCTGTGATATGCAGGCTTTTGTAACCATGACAACTGTTAGAATTTCACTTGGCGGGGATTCATTTTATTTACACTGTCTCGTTTATAGGAACATGGTGGGGCTAAGAGCGAGGTTTGGTGCACCATTAACCGGTTTAAACTCCCCAGTAGTCATTATTATGCTGCTGACCGTTCCAAGGCGGCGCCCCTCTGTGTTCCTCAGATGTATGTCTATGTTGTTTTATACTGTTTTGGTGACACTTTTGCGCGTGTCTCTTGTTGTTTCTCGTCTACGGTAAGTATCTTCCCTTTGTCCCTAGTTTTTATTTATTTTATTCCCCCCCCCTTCCCCGTGTCTCATGTCCCCTTCCCCTGTGCCTTTTGACATTATGGGCCTTATATTAAATCATTTATTTGTTTTGTTTTAGTTCCTTATAAGTTACTAATTATGTATTCTGATGTAGTGGTTTGCCTGCCCGTACTCTGCCTTGTGCCCTGTCCTGTTTTTCTTTGGGGTCCTCCTGGGCTCCTTGCCGCTGGCGCTTGTTGCTGGGTCGGGTGGGGGCTGCGTTCATTGAATGCCGCCTTTCCTTGTCGATCTTGTTTATCATATTTCATAACCTCTGATCCCCTTTCAAAATTCCATTTTATTTAGTTCCGCCCATTGTTTTCTCGTTTAGGGCACACGCTTTTTATTACTTGGGGACCATACGCCGCTTTTCATGGAATGGCACGGTAGTGTCACATTGAAGGTTCCATGATAACCGCCGTATGAACACATCTGCGGATGTTTCTAAATTCAAAATTTTACCATTTCATGTTTAAATGTTGAATTCTGCTTAAGCCGGTGCTAGGGGGCGTGGACGGTAAATTGCACTTTCCAGTACCGTCCATGAACAGGCTCAATCAAACCGAGCCTGCAACATTTTCAATTTTGTCGAGTTGGGCTTTCTTTAGGGATTCTGTATTTATCTATTTCAGAGGTTATGAAGCCTGCATATCACAGAAAAGACGTCAGAAAAAAAAGCAGAAAACATATCCTAAGGGTGATTCAACATTATTCAAGAAGGAATATTGCAGTCTGCAATTCTTATGTTATTTTGTTGTGATTAATGCTTCCGAGGGATCACTTTGTTTCCAGAATTTTGTACTTCACAACAGCAGGTGTCAAGTGCCGTGTGGCAGCCGTAAAAAGTTGCCCCGTACTGCACTTCAGTGTTGTTATATTTTCTGGTCCTTCGGGATCATTGATGCCAACACTATAAAGTGTTGAGAATTGAGTACCGCTCAAGCCGGTGCTAGGGGGCGTGAGGGATGTTGCACTTATTCATTATCCCTCATGTACAGACTCAATCAAACCGATTCTGCAATTCTTATTTATGTTGTTGTGATTAATGCTTCCGAGGGATCACTTTGTTTCCAGAATTTTTTACATTTATCCGCATGAACTACAACTTAATAAAACGAAACAGAGAAAAACAGAATCCCCAAAGAAAAATAACAAGAACAAAGATCAACAAGGCAAAGGCAACGTTCACAGGACACACCTAAGTAGGACACCCAGAAGGCACCAAACAAAAACCTGGAGTGGACACAAGGGCGAAAGGAGTGGGACATGTAATGTGAAATAATATAAACAAAAACGGGCCCATAAGGGAATTAAAGGGAAAAGGGCTGTACGGGTGAAAAGGTGGGGGGGGAGAGAAAATACCTACTGTCAACGACAATCCAACAAGACAGACATCACAAAACATGCAAACATCCAAAAGCAAGCAACAATACAGATAAGAAAAAACACGTGAAGGAACACAAAGGGTGTACGCCTTGGAACGGTCAGTGGTAGTTAAACCACTGGGGAGTTTAAAATAGATAAAATTCTGGAAACAAAGTGATCCCTCGGAAGCATTAATCACAACAAAATAACATAAGAATTGCAGACTCGGTTTGATTGAGTCTGTACATGAGGGATAATGGATGAGTGCAACATCCCTCACGCCCCCTAGCACCGGCTTGAGCGGTACTCAATTCTCAACACTTTATAGTGCCGGCATCAATGATCCCGAAGGACCAGAAAATATAACAACACTGAAGTGAACCGGTTTTAGGCGCGCCAAAAAATATGATAAACAAGATCAACAAGGAAAGGCGGCGTTCAATGAACGCAACCCCCACATGACCCAGCAACAAGAACCAATGGCAAGGAGCCCAGGGGGACCCCAAACAAAAACAGGACAGGGCAAAGACAGAGCACGGACAGTATAATCATTAAATGATAATTAATTTGTAACTGATTAGGAATTCAAAGAAAATAAAAATAGGCCCACAAAGGGGAAGGAGACCGGGGGAGGGGGTGGGGAGTAATCAAAGAAATAAAAACTAGAGGCAATGGGGAAGATACTTACCGTAGACGAGAAAACAACAAGGGACACAAGCAAAAGTGTCACCAAAACAGTATGAAACAACATAAGACATACATCTGAGGAACACAGTGGGGCGCCGCCTTGGAACGGTCAGCAGCATAATAATGACTGCTGAGGAGTTTAAACCGGTTAATGGTGCACCAAACCTCGCTCTTAGCCCCACCATGTTCCTATAAACGAGACAGTGTAAATAAAATGAATCCCCGCCAAGTGAAATTCTAACAGTTGTCATGGTTACAAAAGGTTAAATAAGTAAAACACTAAAATGATCATGTTGAAACATATAAAAGTAAACCCAATGACCATAACAAAAGTACTCAATGTCCTAAAGGAAGACAGAGCAACAAGAAAATCACCTACAAGGGCGCGACGAAGCAAGGCAGAAGACGAACATTAAGACAATTCAGTCCCAAAGGGCTTTACCTCACTCTTAGTCCCAATATGTTCCTGAATGACACGAAAATGTATATATAACTAATCCCCGCCAAGTGAAATTCTAACAATGGTTATGGTTACATTAGATGAAATAAAACAAGAGGGCCATGATGTCCCTGAAGTCGCTCACCTGTATATAGGCCCCGGAGCGGGGCCAGTTTAAACCTCGGGGCTTTTATTTGAACAAACTTGGTAGACAACCATTAGAAGATGTTTCATGCTAAACATCTAAGGTCTAGCTGGTCAAGTTTTTTCTTTACACATATAGTAAAAAACAATGACACTCCTAGGGCAGTTTTGACCCCAGGGCTTTTATTTGAACAATCTTTGTAGACATTTACTAGAAAATGTTTCAGGCTTAACATCTAAACTCTAGCTATTCGGGTTTTTTCAAAGAAGATTTTTAAGTTTTTGCTATACACATATAAGGAAAGTCAATGTCCCCTGGGGCGGGGCCAATTTTGACCCCAGCGCTTTTATTTGAACAAACTTTGTAGACACTCACTAGAAGTTGCTTCGTGCTTAACATCTAAACTCTAGCTATTTCAGTTTTTTCAAAAAAGATTTTTTAAGTTTTTGCTATACACATATAAGGGAAATCAATGACCCCCGGGGCAGGGCCAATTTTGACCCCAGGGCTCCTATTTGAACAAACTTGGTAGACATCCATTAGAATATGTTTCATACTAAATATCTTAGAATAGATAAAAGCAGAATCCCTAAAGAAAGCCCAACACGGCAAAATTGAAAATGTTGCAGGCTCGGTTTGATTGAGCCTGTTCATGGACGGTACTGTCAAGTGCATACTACCGTCCACGCCCCCTAGCACCGGCTTAAGCAGAATTCAACATTTATACGTGAAATAGTAAAATTTTGAATTTAGAAACATCCGCAGATGTGTTCATACGGCGGTTATCATGGAACCTTCAATGTGACACTTCCGTGCTCTAGCTCTTTGGGTTCTTTAAAAGAAGATTTTTTAAGTTTTTACTATATGCATATAGGGAAAATCAATGACCCCCTGGGGCGGGGCCAATTTTGATCCCAGGGGTTTTATTTTAATAAACTTGATAGACAATCATTAGAAGATGTTTCATGCTAAATATCATAGCTCTAGCTCTTTGGGTTCTTTAAAAGAAGATTTTTTAAGTTTTTACTGTATGCATAACGGGGAAAATCAATGACCCCCTGGGTCGGGGCCAATTTTGACCCCAGGGCTTTTATTTGAACAAACTTGGTAGACACTCACTAGAAGATGTTTCATGCCAAATATCTAAGCTTTAGCTCTGGGTTTTATAGAAGAAGATATTTAAAGTTTTTTTTCTTTTGGTTGCCATGGCAACCAGAGTTCTGAATGGAATTAAATTCTTTTAACAAGTTTCAAAGGTGACCACCAAGGAAACATTCCTGTGAAGTTTGGATGAAATTGGCTTAGTGGTTTATGAGGAGATGTCATTTAAATTAAAAGTTGACGGACGGACGCCGGACGGACGAAAAGCTATCACAAAAGCTCACCCTGTCACTTTGTGACAGGTGAGCTAGAAAGTGATTTAAACAAGAATAACCTCTTCCTTAAACATCTTCCTTAGTTGTTGTCGATACATAATTTATCGGCTAATAGCCTTTTTGAATTTTCTGTAAAAATAGTTTTGCATGTACTTACAAGGTCATTTCAGAGCATCCAGAAATTAAAATTATGCATAGATATACAAGAAATTGAGTGAAGTTAGAGATGACTTTTTTTATTTATTTCACAAATACTTGGTTTAGTTAAATAATAAGTACCATATACATAGATCTGCGGAATTCAAGAAAATAAATCCTTGTAGATTATTTTGGCTTTATTTCTGAATGTTATAAATTCCTTAAGTACCTCTGCGCAGTAGCTCCTGAAACATTCTAGAACTTCTTTGATTTGATTGATCGAAATCATCCGCCCTTTTCCATCAGCTGCAAGAAGAGGATCATAGCTAATACACTATGTACATGTGTGTAAAATGATGGTAAATTCTAAAGAAAAAAAATTCTATACTTTCTTCATTATTTTGCTCTGGTAAACACATATTGGAAAGTTCTTTATTCACTATTATTCAAAATCTAATTGCATATTTATTGCAAAAATTAATACTTACGTCCTTTGGCAGAGTGAGAGCAGAAAGGGACTTCTTTTGGCCAGTATTCTGGTTTCTGCATTTGGTTGTATGTCCCTCGTTCTTTAGCACCTGTGTATAATTGAAAGATATACAGATTCATATAAATAGTGAACATATAAAGTTAGTACACTTATAATAAAAACAATAAAATATGATGCTAAATGTTATAATAAGTTAACGGCTAGCTGGTATTCGATGCTAGTTTATCTCAGATAAATAAAATTCGACAAAGAAAAGTGGGCATTATTCTGCAGACACGGTTAGCAGCCATTTTGAAATGGCACCCTCTTATAACAGTATAATGAAAGTTTACCAAGTTTTATATGAATAGCTTATATAGGTTTCAGAACACGCAGGGAAAATTACCAACGCCAGAGCCTGATTTGAGGGTCATTTTCGAAAAGTGTAGCTAAAATGGTTCGAGAGTATATTTAAACAATACAATAGAAGCTTACGGAAGTGAATTGATAGGTTTCTTGCTATAATTTCTGCAAGCATGATTTCGAAAGAAATTATATAATCAGATCCATAACGATAATGTTTACATGTCCAAAGAAATTAGTTAAGCGTATTGACTGGAAGGACACATATTTATTTCTTATCCGATACAAAGTGAATCAAAGAATTATGCATGCACAAATGGATGTTATTGCATTCAATTAAAGATAACAAACCTTTGTTGAAACAGAGTCTGGAGTAAATTTTTCTGCAAAGTGCGCTATGGAGATCTTCAAAGGATAGACCAAACACGTCTATATTTCTATGGTCTACTGTCTTACAGGATTCTAATAAAATAACATGTTGTTAAAGGGTATAAATCTATATATTATGAAATATTTTATAGAATTTAACAACAGTAAAATTATATTGGTTCCATTATTTTATGGCTGATTCCCGAAAAAGTTGTAATAGAATGTCTCTATTATTTAATACACATGAAAATGTACGTAAAAAGAATAAAATGTTCGGGAACAAAATATCTTTTTGCTATTTTAAATAGGGTTTTATCTGTTTATCAATAACTTTGTGCATGCGCCACTAGCTTTAAGGCAGTTTATTGCCATTTTTATTTGTTTGGGTCGTCAGACCAAACAAATAATGGTAGCGAAATTTTAGACTTCGATGCTGTTAATTGCAAATGCCAAAAGTAGTCTGCTTTTTGAAGCGGTTACTTCCCTTTATATGTACACTAACGACAACAAATTCAGGGGATATCACAGCGTAAAGATTGTCAAATGACAGCGTATTAATTTTCAAGCAAAATAGTTCCTGAATGGTCGAAGATTTCTTATATTGTTTGATTCTTTATAGATATACATGCTTATAGTACATGATTATTTACATCTGTGTTGAACAACAGGTTTAGCGTCGAAATAATAAGAGTTACAAACCCTAATTTAGAATGAAATGGTTTTCTTCAGGCCGTTTACATATAACTTCACCTTGGCCGAGGGGTTTAGGAACCTCGCTTAGGAATAGAGAGGTCTGGAGTTCAAATCCCAGTTAAGGTCAACTCATTTTTTTAAAGTGTTTAAGTCAAAAACACATTGAATTGAATATCAGTGTTGCAATTAGTCTTATAGCCAATTTACTACAGTTAAAACACTGGAAAGCACTGGTGGCACTATACAAAAAAAAATTGGTTTATAATCACACAACCTTCACCTTTCTGACATTCTGAGACCCAAACAAATTCAGCGCCTTCTGTGCTTTGATTATTTCATACAGGCATTTTGAAAGTATTCTCTTTTTTTTAAAATCCAAACAATTATTTTGGCATCAGATATATAGCTTTATACACATAAATCAGTTGTAAACAGGGGGGTTGCTTATAAAAATGCAGAAAACGTTTATATTATTACAGGTAATATACGTTATATACATATCATCGTTATCCAAAGGTATTTGGCAAAGAATGCAGTGTGGTAAATTCTAAATCGTACCTGGCACAACTGCTTTGTTGACTGATTTTTCTGCCACTTCTAGTATATCCTGACCTTTGGTGCCTTTTAGAACCTGACATAAGGTTGGTGATCCTATTAAGAAATATTATAAGTTATTAATGCTGATATATTTGTTTAAGGGATACAGAATCAACAAGTATAAAATTGCTTTAATGTAGATATATTCCAGTCAATTTTAGTGCCACACTATTACAAGGATCGAATTTCAAAACATTTGAAAAGTATATTCGCACACATAGACTTTTGTAAGCTCTCAATATCCATATGCATTTGATATTGAGTAACATGAAACTAATCTATAGTTTACTTGAATGTTTAGGTTATCGACTCATGTCATACATAATATGTAAGAAAAAAACATTCTTAAAACGTTATGAAAAAAAAAACATTATATGAGATGCTTACTCTTAAGTATACAAAGGACACTCACATAATATAATATTTACTTAAACGTATAGGAGAATATCGTAATTTGAGCCAATGTCCAATATTGAGCAAAACAAGAAATGAACATGATAATGTAGGAATTACCTGTGAGACACACTTGTCCCTTTGGCTGGATCTTTATCAGGGCCATGATTGGTGCCCCAGGAATTTTACCAGTGTTGGCTACCTAATTGTAATAAACATGATAACAGTCATTTGGTATATTAGATGATCTTTACAGTTTTATTTATGCACTTTCATGAAAGTCAATATTTCTTTATAGCATGAAAACATTTCCATTATAAACAAGAGGGCCATGATGGCCCTGACGTCGCTCACCTGTATATAGGCCCCCAGAGCGGGGCCAGTTTAAACCCCAGGGCTTTTATTTGAACAAAACTTGGTAGACACCCATTTGAAGATGTTTCATGCTAAACATCTAAAGTCTAGCTCGTTGGGTTTTTATGCTCCGGGGGAGCATATAGTCGTCGGGTTGTCTGTCCGTCCGTACGTACGTCCCGAATTCGTGTCCGGTCCATAACTTTGTTATTTGAAGTCGTATTTTAAAACTATTTCACAGAAATAATCACCATATTGAGACGAAGTGTCGTGCGCAACATTTGGCTCGCTACCTTGAAGGTCAATGTCACAGCATGACCTTGCAGCAAAATCGTGTCCGGTCCATAACTTCGTTATTTGAAGTCAGATTTTAAAAATATTTCACAGAATCGTCACCATATTAAGACGACGTGTCATGCGCAAATTTGGGTCAGTTTCTTGAAGGTCAAGGTCACAGCATGACCTTGCAGCAAACTCGTGTCCGGCCCATAACTTTGTTATTTGAAGTCGGATTTTAAAAGTATTACACAGAAATGATCACCGTTTGAGACGACGTGTTGCGCGCAACATTTGGGTCAGTTCCTTGAAGGTCAAGGTCACAGCATGACCTTGCAGTATAATTGTGTCCGGCCCATAACTGCATTTTTTGAAGTCCGATTTTAAACTATTTCACAGAAATGATCACCGTATTGAGATGACCTGTCGTGTGCAACATTTTGGTTGCTACCTTAAAGGTCAAGGTCACAGCATGACCTTGCAGCAAAATTGTGTCTGGCCCATAACTTTATTATTTGAAGTCCGATTTTAAAACGTATTTCACAGAAATGATCACCATATTGAGACGAAGTGTCGTGCGCAACATTTGGCTCGCTACCTTGGAGGTCACCATATTTAGACGAAGTGTCGTGCGCAACATTTGGCTCGCTACCTTGGAGGTCAAAGGTCACAGCATTACCTTGCAGCAAAATCGTGTCCGGTCCATAATTTCATTATTTGAAGTCGGATTTTAAAAATATTTCACTATAACGATCACCATATTGAGACGACGTGTTGCGCGCAACATTTTGCTCGCTACCTTGAAGGTCAAGGTCACAGCATGACCTTGCAGCAAAATCGTGTCCGGCCTATAACTTTGTTATTTGAAGTCGGATTTTAAAAGTATTACACAAAAATGATCACCATATTGAGACGACGTTTTGCGCGCAACATTTGGGTCACCTCCTTGAAGGTCAAGGTCACAGCATTACCTTGCAGTTAAATTGTGTCCGGCCCATAAATTCATTTTTTGAAGTCCGATTTTAAAAATGTTTCACAGAAATGATCATCACAACGTGTCACCACTACCACGTGTCACCACTAACACATGTCATCGCCACGTGTCACCACAATGTGTCACCACCACCACTACTTGTCACCACCACGTGACACCATGTGTATCTATTTATAGAATTTTCTTGCGTGTTTCTATTTATAGAATTGCGTGATTCTATTTAATATAGACTTTTCTGTTTATAAAATTGCGTGTTTCTATTTATATATGTTTATAAATTACATACGGATTACATTTTTTTGTTAATGGATTACATATACATGATGTTACTTTAAACTCATGTTTATTAAAGTACAAAATTTTAATGTTTTTATCCTTCTATGGTGTTTTCTCCTCTGTAATATGTTGATGTTCTTATTTGAATATTTTAGACTTCACTTTCACATGTTCAAGGAAAGGTTCAGATTTGTGCAAATTAATAAACCCGGTATCATTTTAGAATGCACAAGCTTTAGACAGTATAAAATGTCTAAGGGGGATAAATTAATTTGTTTATATGATTATGTTATTTAATACGGATTCATTCAATTTGTTCCCTTGGTGACATACATTAATATTTTATAACATTATAATACAGCTTCTTTCAAAAAAGGTTATTTTAAGAATATGCAGTATAACATAGAGGAGATAATGGTGACATTTACCGAATAATTTTGTTTTCAATATAACATAATAAGATAACCATAATTGGACGCGGTAAGTCCGTCGTACCACTTAACCGGCTTTTGGGGGAAATTTTACTTTATTTATGTCCACATTTATGTAAAGTTTTAGTATATCCGTACACCCAAATTCCATTTATGTTTAACACAACTGACAACTGTTATAATTGTCACATGCTATATTCAAATATTAAAAATACATCTACGATTTCTATGTTTCGTTATAAAATATATTACGGAAACCTCAAATAGAAAAAAAACTCATAACTGTATAAAATTAGTATATATTGTGATGATTGACTAATATTTTTTATCGTTTATTTCATATACGCAGTATTGCAAAAACAATAATATTGACATTTACTCGTAAAACATCTTATTGCTTTAATGTTATAGTAAATAAAATTTACATAATGTGTTAAAGGTCAAGTAACGTACGTACAGGGAGACTGGCCCCATTATAGTATGATATGTATGATTGCAAGATTATAGATTTAAAGACTAAGGTTCAGTGCATCATTCAACATTGTATTCACCGTATGGTTATTTATTACAATTACGCGACAGACAAAGAAAATTGCTTGAAAAATCAAATAGGTATATGTCCTGTAAATTAATGCATTCTTTCAATTTACATTATACTGCACGATGCCAAATAGTATTTTTCCTAACGAAATATACGGTATCTGTATTGTCAGATGTAAATATTTGTGCTTAGCACTGTCTTCTACGCTTGTTTGAAAAAATAAAATAACACATAAAGAAACAACAAAACAAACATGTACAAGGCAGGTATATAATTGACATGATTTTGTCAAGTTTTCGTCACATTTTCAGCAACCATGAAATGATAACACTTGAGACTAATAATAACAGCTAGTGTAAGCCGGTGTTAGGATACGATAAATACAAATGTGTAAACGTTACATCGTACTATATTTCAACGGTGTTACACAATTAGAGTCTGCTGGATCTGTAGATTGAAATTTATTTAATATTATGTAAAACATATATTTTAGCATTCGGCACGATATGGCCAGTTATGGGTTGACGTGCCGTAAAAATCCAAATAAACAAAATGTAAGACAAAATATGTGTCTTCTTGTTAAATCAAAAATAAATAGATGTGTCATCATTCTTTAATGTTAACATACGTCAAAACTTGGTATCTCAAATATGCTTTGTATCACGTTGTCTTAATACAATTGTTAAGCATATTGAAACAAAAGAACTGTCAATAAACAGAAAAAAGTCGAATCTTAACCCCCCCCCCCCCCCCCCCCCAAAAAAAAAAATAAATAAAATAAAGCTGTAGAGATAATTATAATATGAACAAGTTATTGTAAACGAAGTTGAGTTGGTAAACTATGTAAGCTAGTAATATTCGCTGTTTGCCTCAAACTGAAGCTTACATTTCATACTGTAAATCTATTGCACGGAGATAATGCGCGTACCAGATGATACACTCTGTTTCCACTTTTGTTCTATGATTTATCATTATAGTGGGAATGTGAGCTGTCCTGATTTTCTATTCAAAATTTAACGTGATGAACTTTCACATTGCTTTCTGTTTGCTTTGATATCCGAACCAAAAAGGTGTTATAATGTAAATTGTATCTGAATATATCGTAATGCGTATTTATCAATCTAAGTATGGCGTTATTGTGAATCTTTTTTGTTTCAAATCGAAACTTAATTGTGATTCCAATGTGCAGAAATGACTAGTAAATTACAAATAGTTATGCCGAATATCTGATATTAGAAGTGCCATGATATATCTGGCAATAAAAGATTATAGTGCGTTATTAAAAAACATCTGGTGAAGAAGAAATACCTTGACACCAGATAAGTCAATTTTTTAATCTTCATCTGTATTAAGTATTTGAAATAAATTATTCAAAAGACCGGAAAAAAATAACAAGACTGAGATTAACTTTCAACATTATCTCACAACGCATGTACCTACTGTAGTGAGCATGAAAGTATTAAAAGGTATTATTTTTTAAATTTCATTTCCGTCTGTTATATTTTAAAATTGACTGGCTTGTTTCAGTTGCTTAAAACACGTTTTTTTTTAAACATCATACAATTAAGCATTTCATATTAAATAAGTATGACTTATTTTTCGTCAATAATAATTGGAATATACATAGATCATTACATGTCCTCAGTCTTTCTTTTTCAAATTATCAGATAACTTGATAACAATGAAAAATCATCACAACGTACTTGTGAACAAAAGAACACACGTCAATGTATAATGTTAATTTATAAAATCTAATTTAGATTAAAGTTCAGAGAAGGGATCGGTCATTTCATTAAAGCAATCAAACTTTTTAAGTGAAAGTGAT